TACCACGTGGTATCTGGCTGGGCTGCAGCAGGGCTTCACAGAGGCAGGTGTGGGTGGATTTGGCCCACCGGTCCACCTCTGCTTTCTGAGATGACACTCGCCCATTCCACAAATGTATCTAGTAATCGTCATGGGCTGTGCACCATGTTGTGGACAAGTCAGGGACGCGGTGATGGGTGGACAGCCATGATCCTGGACCTCACAGAGCTAGCTTAAGATTTAGGGGGGAGGGAGGATTAATTTTAAAAACATAAAGTTTCATAAACATATAAACTTCATAAATTTATAAATCTGCTAATACAATAAGCACAAGAGAAAAGTAAAAAGTGCTACGAGACAGGGTGAATCTGACTGGGACTGGGATTCGGGTTTTCCTGAGGACTGTCAGGACTGAGCTGAGACTGGGGGAGGGGAAGGGGGGGTTCCAGGAACAGAGATGAACACGTGGACAGACTCACAACAGGACAGGCCGGCTCATTCAGGACCCGAGGAACCGCATCAGACGAGACCCAGAAAGTGCAGAGGCTGGAGAGGGGCCAGAGTCAGGGCTCGCGTGCTGGGCCACACACGGGATGTTACCTCTACCCTAAGTGTGACCAAAACCACTACAGTATTTTAAGGGAAAGATAAGACCAGATTCATCTATTTCATCACTAATACCTCAGCACTCAGATCTAGGGGATGGTAACTTACCGCAGGGTCATGGAGGGAAATCTGATGAAAACACAGGAGTTTTGTGATTGGTGGATTTAGAGACAGGCGGCATTTGGCAGAAAAGTAGAGGGAAAGGAGCCACCAGGAGGTCCCTGAGAAGGGAAGCGTGAGGAGGAGGGCGGCTCTGGTGGGGAAATATGAGTCCGACTTTGGGTAGAGTGAGTATAGGTTGAGATATCCAAGAAAATTTGGAACAAATGGGTCCACAGACCAGGAAGGGAGCTGGGCTGGCCACACAGACGTGTGGACAGACGCTCAGTACACGTGGGGACGTCACCAAGCACACAGACCAGAACAAAAAGAAAAGGGCCTGGGTGCAGCACAGAGCTGTCAATCAACAGGCAGACAGAAAAGGATGGAGCTGTAAAAGTCAGAGAGACAGGGGAGACCAGCAGGACGCTGAGACACAGTGGCCGTACAGGGAGCATTTCCAGAAAGAGGGAAAGGAGGAGGCTGGATGCTGGTGAGAATTCAGGTCAGGTCAACCCTGAACAGCACACAGCACAGTCAGTGCCATGGAAGCTGTCTGCGGCCACGTGGAGGCCATCTGTGGCCACGTGGAAGCCGTCTGTGGCCATGTGGAGGCCGTCTGTGACCACGTGGAAGCCGTCTGTGGCCACATAGAGGCCGTCTGTGACCACGTGGAAGCCATCTGTGGCCACATAGAGGCCGTCTGTGGCCACGTGGAAGCCGTCTGTGACCACGTGGAGGCCGTCTGTGGCCACGTGGAAACTGTCTGTGGCCACATCTCGAGTCACTGTGGTCTCCTCCTCAGGACTCTGGCTGTGCTCTCCCCACACCTGTCCATGACAGAACAGAGCCCACGCTGCCCACAGTTACACATGGACTGTTGGTCTGGGGCCACGAGGATGACAGCGAGTTAAAACAAGAAAGGCTTAAAGAAGAAACAAAAGACACAAACAGGTTCTTAGACAAGGCCAGGGAGCCGACTCACGACCGAAGGCAGGGAAACCATAGCTGAAGAGTGGCGTGCACACACTTTCACTATGAACAGTGAGTAACACAGTCCCACATGGCTGATTCTTTGTTGAGCTGCAATCATCAGAGATTTGTGAGATTTCTTAGAGCTGATTCTCTGGCTTGTGGATAATATGGTGCATTCTAGAGTCACATACACTTCAACACACGGAATTAAATGAGAACTAATGTGTGACATTGTCGAGCATAATTCCTGCATTTAATAAGCACTCAGTATGCACTTATTGAAATTAAGTTATTATGAGACTTTGACCTGATTTCAGACATGCTGTTCCTAATCCAGGTGCAGTGAGACTCTGTTACCTTGAATGTCATCATTGAATGTGCAGTACTGGTCTCGGTATTTGTTCAGGAGACGAAATGCGTTCATATTAGCAAAATCTTCAAACTGGATAAGGCAGTTCATGCCATACCTATGGGAAAAAAACTTTTATGTTAGAAAGATTAAGGAAATAACACTTAAAAATAAACCTTTAAGAAGAATGTGTTTCAACTCTATCCAGGTTAATACAAAAGATGTCACAAGATTGGAAAAGCAAGTATCCCGAGTACTCAATACTAGTACGACGTCAGTCGATGATGTAATACACGCCTAAACAAGGGAAAAGCTCAATTGAACTCAAGATGGGGGAGGGAGGATGCAGGGGGAGGGAGTGGGAGGGGGGCGAATTGGTGCTCCCACCTGATGGGCACAATGTAAGGGTGTCTGGCACAGCTCCTGGCTGAGGACACAACTACAACAGGGACTCAACCTAACAAATGCAAACATGGGAACCTAACTGCCATCACATTAATCTGAAATAAAGCAAACAAACCACAAAATAAACTTTCAGGTCTGGCATGGTGGCTCACACCTGTAATCCCAGAACTCCGGGAGGCCAAGGTAGGTAGACTGCCTTAGCTCGCGAGTTTTAGACCAGCCTGAGCCAGAGTAAGACCTTGCCTCTAAAAAATATCTGGGCGTTGTGGTAGGTGCCTGTAGTCCCAGCTACTTGGGAGGCTGAGGCAAGAGAATTGCTTGAACCCAAGAGTTTGAGGTTGCTGTGAGCTGTGACACCACAGCACTCTACTAAGGGTGGCAGGGTGAGACTCTGTCTCAATAAACCAACCAATCAACCAACAAATAAACAAACAAACCTTTAAAATTAGCCCATGATGGCTCACACCTGTAATCCCAGCACTCTGGGAGACTGAGGCAGGTGGATTGCCTGAGCTCAGGAGTTTGAGACCAGCCTGAGCCAGACCGAGACCCTGTCTCTAAAAATAGCCAGGCTGGGCATTGTGGTGGGCGCCTGTAGTCCCAGCTACTCAGGAGGCTGAGGCTGCAGGATCACGTGAGCCCAAGAGTTTGAGGATGCTGTGAGCTATGATGCCATAGCACTCTACTGAGGGTAATAAAGTGAGACTCTGTCTCAAAAAAATCAAATAAAATAAAATGAGCCCATAAAAAAGGGTTAAAGGTTATTCTTTGTTAAAGGCCCTCTCTTGCTGCTTAGTGAAAACATGTTACACACCCTGTGTCCAGCAAATAGTCAGAACACGCTTACAAGAGAAAAGACGCTGTGTTGCTACTGTGAAATCATATAAATGACCAAAGTGCGACCCCTGCCCTCAAGGAATTTGAAATTTAGTGGAAACAAAATTTTTTTGAAATAAGTGACAAGTGCGTGAAAAGTAGCATCAAAGTAGGATGTACAAACGAGGACCGGCAGGTGTGCAGAGGACAGACGCCACTCCAGCGTGGTCACAGGCCAGGTGCGTGGCCCAGGCCCTGAGGTCAGCGGACGGCCAGGCCTGCAGAAGTGCAGACGTGGAGTCTCACAGCTGAGGGACACAGAAGCAAAGTAACCGAGGGGAGAGACGGGGAGCAGCCACTTAAAGTAAAATGGGGGTGTCGATTCTCAAAAGGAACCTAACATTTTTCTTCTTACATACATGAAGCTGTTCTTCATTTTCCAAGGGAACTCTTCAGCTAGGTTCATTAATTATTTTAAAAAGTTACTAAGAACTCCTAAAAGCACTGCCATGGTTGAAAGTGACTACCGTCTTTACAACTGTAGCAGAAGTAGACATCGCTGTAGCAACTAGCTCCCCCAAACGCCAATCCAGCCCACAATTATCTGCTTGTCATGGCTCCCTCCCCGTCGCTGGCTCCTCAGCAGCCTTCGGCAAGGACAGCCAGTTGGGACTCAGCCCCGAGAGCACCCACGTGGTCTGTTCCCACCAAGCCAGGCGCTGGTGGCCTAGCAGCACGAGGTGACCTGTCATTATGTCCCAAAGGAGCAGACCCTGCAGTCTTGGCATGGGAGGTGGCATCACAGCCCTCGAGTTCTATTTCCGGACCCACCACTTACTTGGTTCTGTGGTTTGGGGCTTGTTACGATTCCTCTGTGGTTAAAGCACAACCCCCACAACATGGCCTGCCCCCGGTGTTCAGGGCGCCCTGTGGTCAGCCTGTGAATTTCTAGTGCTTCCTCAGTGAGATCTGGGAGGAGGCCTTGGCAGTGAAAGGGGGCACTGGGTACCTTATCATTTGCAAACGCTTACTTTAGAGTCGTCCCCTGGATCCTGCCTATCAGTTTTAATCCCAAGACGTTTCTCTACCTGGTAGTTAACTCTGATTTGACGCCTGAGGGTTTAGAGAAAGGCAGCCTGAATTCATTTTGTGACACAAGCGTCTTCATCATATAATAAGAGAAAGCCACGTACGGGATCTCGTTCCAGTTTGAACTGGTGTCGTTACTATGGAATTATAAGCAGCGGAGCACTCGGAAGTTTGCCAATTCAGTTCTGCACAACTACGAAAAGAACCTACTATTTTATGATCAAAATACCACATAAAATAGTGGGTGTAAATGGTTATAAAAGTTAACAGAAATCCCACACATAAAATTAACATGTAAAAACTCCAGAGACTGTTGGCCTGTGGAGCTGTTACGTCTGACAAAAAACCTGATTACAGTGACGACTCACTAGTCTGGTGCCGTTAAGTGTCAGGCACCACGCTCCATACTCCTTAGGAATTATCCCATTTAATTCTGTCAGAAACCTAGAGAGGAGTGGACTATTATTACTCTTAACAGATGAAGAAACTGGAGCTCGGGCAGATGCAGCAGCATGGCTGAGTTCATGATGCAAGTACGCGGCGAGGTCTGGCCTGGACCACAGGCCACAGTTTTAACTACAATCTGGGACACAGGCTCCCGCAGAGCACCACCTTGTCGTCACGTCCACGGAGTGAGCAGCATATAGATACAGCCGGCACCGATGAAACAGGGAGTCATAATTTCATCATTAAACTAAAGAGACAGCCTCTATGTGCACACAGCCACTTTCACGCCACTTTACTATAGAAAGAGTATGGACAGGTGTTGCTGACGACAGCATCTTTGATTATAAACTGTGAAGAACTCCCAAGCTTCACGGGACAGGCTGGCAGTGCAGGTTGACCGAGCAGGCTTTGCTTTTCCTGGGAGATGATGCAGAGCCAATTTTAAGGACTTACTACCTACACGGCGCCATGGGGATTCAAGGTCCACAGCACTTCAGTCCTGATGAGTAACTCAGAGATCATATATTGAAAACCATTCATTTTTGATGATGTACTGGGGCTTGAGGGCCCTCAACACCCTGGGCAGCACCCAGGAAACCCACTGTGCTCCCGGGGGCAGGGAGGAGGATTCTCACTGGGAAGACACAGGACACAGGAAAAAACTTAAGTTCAGACTAAGAGCAAAGTCAGCGGCCCGCAGAATCACTGACGGGAGTAAGGGAGACAGTGTGACTCAGAAGAGGTTTAAACTGGGCCCGGGTAGAGTCAGATGAGAACAGTGGGGTGGGGAAATCACAGAGGTCTCAAAATTGTCCTAGGGACACTGAGAACAGCAGAGCGAGGAACTTCCCAAGGTAAGTATCGTTCTGAATTCAGATCCTGAGTGGTCTTGAATACTCGCATAAGTAATCTGAAGCCAACTGACAGTTTTCTCCAGCTAGGAACCACTCAAAGTCAATTCTTCCTTTTAGGTAGGAATTAAGAACAAGAAAATGTGTTCCCTTCTCTGTTAGTCTGCTGCAATATGGCTCCAGCCACTGCTCTCTTCCATTATTCTGTAAATAAACATTTCTTTCACTTCTCTTATGATTACTTTTGTTATATATTAGTGACAGTCCAAAAGACTGCTAATACCAGAACAGCCTAATAAGGGGCTGTAAGCCAGGGAGACACCTCTCCCCTGCCTCGGGAACAGATAATCTCTATGTTTATAGAATTAGTTCATGTGGACATTTCTACATATTTACAGAATTCATATTTACACATAGACTAATTCTATAAAAGCAACTCACAGTTCCTTGTGACAAAGGCAATATCAGATACTATATAAAACTGTAACATTAGTTTCTAAAATGAGACTTTCAAATTATTCTTTTTAAGAAGGCATAAAAAGCTGGGGAGATGGCTCACACCTGTAATCCCAGCACTCTGGGAAGCTGAGGAGGGTGGATCACCTGAGCTCAGGAGTTCGAGACCAACCTGAGCAACAGCCAGACCCCATCTCTAAAAATAGCCGGGCGTTGTGGCTGGCGCCTGTAGTCCCAGCTACTCAGGAGGCTAAGGCAAGAGAATTGGTTTAGCCCAAGAGTGTGAGTTTGCTGTGAGCTGTGATGCCACGGCACTGTTTCAAGGTGACAGAAGGAGAATGTCTCAAAAATAAAAAAAAAAAAAGAAGGCATTAAAAAAATAAGGTTTTACTATCCTTATAAGCAAACCCTTTGTAAGACAATGTTAAGGCTGAACAATGACTGAATACATTACATAGTAACACTATTTTTTCTACTGTGGATTCATAAGAACCTTGGTTTAAACACTTCTTTCTGAGTTCTCAATTTTTATTATAAAATTTTAACAGTTTTTTAAAACTTTTTTTTTTTCAAAGTCTCATTCTGTCACCCAGGCTAGAGAGCCATGGAGACATAGCTCATAGCAACCCGCAAACTCTTGGGTTTAAAAGATCACAACACCCAGCTACTTTTTCTATTTTTAACAGAGATAGGGTCTTGCTTTTGCTCAGGCTGGTCTCAAACTCCTGCCTGGGCCTCCCAGAGTGCTGGGATTACTGGCTTAAGTCACCGTGCCTGGCCCAGTTTTTTTAAAACTCATAAAATAATCAACTACCTCATTTCATAACTTAGATTTTAAAAAATCCTAAAACTTGTCTTATTCCACGAATAGAAAAATTCTATGATTTAAAGGAAATTAGTTTTCTTTGATGAAGTATTTTTATATATGAAAAAAGACAGAGATTGATTTTTCCTTAAACTCCTGAAATACAATGTTGCTAATTCAGATGACTGATTTTACAGTGCTACATCAAGAAAAATCACTACTATCCTCGAGAGAAGATTTGCTGTCAGC